GTCACATGGGAGATGCAAAAATAAAAGCGCGTTTCATTTCGATGATAAGTCAGTTTACAGTCAAATAATTCTAAGGTGATGAAGGAAGAAGAGTTCCAAGAAGGGCCTTTAGCTCCAACCACCGCACTTCGCCCATGATGACCTCGGCTTGCCGGTTTTTCTTGTCCAGCTTCAGCTACTCGACTCGCTTCGCGTTCGCCGCATAGTCGGTTAAACAAGATTTGCCGCCCGACTCAAAGTCTCTTGTAAGCTCAAAAGCAATATCCGACCTTCGTTTTGCTAGGTTGGCCATTTGACGGTCGAGATCAGCTAGGACCTCCCCTTTCGCCTTTAAAGCGTCGATCTTCGGACGCAGAATGTCTTGAATGACCAATGCAGCTTTCAAGTCCTCGTCAGCCCGAAGAGCATTCTTGAAAATGCTGAAGGATTCCCGAACTCACTCCAAGGCGGACGATGCCTGAACAATGGCTTTGGCGCTCATTTGACCATCTACTCTGAGGTCGTTTAGGCATGCACCCAACAAATCAAGACCTTTACGCTCAAGGACTTCTGACGCCGAGAGAGACAAAACTTCTTGCAGCCGAACTAGAGCAGCTGAATCGGCAGGTTCAGTTGTAGTAACCGAAAGGCCAGCCGTTCCAGAAGTGCTTAACAAGAGAGCTTTAAACTCGACTTCCCATGAAGGCTATACACAAAAATCAGTTTAAGCATAAGGAAATCACGAAAGAATATAGCAAAAAGGTTTTGTTTTAAACCTGCCAAGAGGAGACTTCGGCCATGTCTTCAGGTTCATTGCTCGAACCTAAAGAACTTAATGGCCGAGCCTAGTGTCTTAGATTACTTCTCAGTTCATGCGGCCGATGGAGGTTATCTACATTCGATGGCCACTGAGGCGGCTAGGAAATATAGATAACACCCTTCGGCGCGTAGAAATTTCGATGAAAAGAATGGGTAGGCACCTGACATTTAGTATCTTCCTGGTTTAGAGTTCTAAGGCAGAAAGGAAACCAAAGAGAAGCGGTATAGGTACTTACGAAGGCCGAAGTCACTTTTTGAGGAGAGGTGCCGAGGTCTTGGTCATGAGGGTGAATTGGAGTTTCTGACGTCGCTTCAGGCTCGACGAGAAGCCTCTTTCCGCGATCGACCACTGGAGGATCAACCCAATTAGCTACCTCAACCATAGGGGGAAGATCAACGGTAAGAGCTTGGGTTGGTCAAGATCGACTCGCCAGCGGAGTCTCATCACTTTCATCATCCTGAAATAAAAGTGTTAATAATTATTGGTTACTTAATAAGTGAAAGGATTTGACGACATAATCGTACCTCTTCTACGATAACCGCCGAATGTCGTGGGTTCTTGGAGAGATCCTTCCCAATCGAATGAGTCATCTCCCCCAGAACAGGAACTCTTGTTGACTCTGGAGCTACAGGCAAGACAATTGATGGTACAACAATTGGCTCAATCACGACCTCGAGAACCTTAGGCATTGGTTGAGCTTGGGTTGCTAGGCTGGTCGAAGAAGGTCGGTTAGCTGCCGAAGCCTGAGCTACGGGAACAGGAGGAGAGGCACTCAGAGCGGTCGTCTCAGTGGTATGGCTGGAGATAATATGAATCTCTCGAGCTCCATTTTTCGCCAATTTCTTGACGCGTTTCGAGGGACGGGGAGTTGCATCTGCCGTCTCGGTGACAGGTTGAAGTCATTTGGTCAAAAGGTTTTGTGCGGAGGGTTTGGTCTTCTTGGAAGAAAGGGCTAATTTCTTCTTAATCGCCATCGGGGCGATCACGTCTGCTTGTACCCGATCACCTAGGAAAACGAAGTCCCGTTAGTAGAATCACGCGAGTAACTAAAAGAAAGACTAAAGGTAAAAACAGGGGTATACCTTAGGGCGCCTTTTTAGATTGAGAGGCATAGGGTTTTTTGGGCTGGTCACTAAAAATCTTGTTGATTCACCCTCGACCGAAGTGCCAAAAAAGTCGAGCGAATATTCTTCCCGCCAGTCGCTGAAGATATCAGTGCCAAGAGATTCAGGAGAATTTGGTCAAAGACGAAATTTCTTACATCTTTCTTGAAATTCTTTTTCGACATCTCTGCACTCCATTTCTGAAGAACCAGAAACGCACCATCGGGACAGAAGGGAACGAGAAGAAAGAAAAGGCAATGGGCAACCTTGGAGGTAACCGAGCTGTCGGGCGGTAAAATGAGGGTGATAAACTTCCCAACTTGCTCGATGCGCATCACAGCCAAGGGGAAGGTCGCGAGTTAACACGAACGACCCCCAATTTTAACAGAATGCGGCATCATCGTTATCACTCTACGTCGATGTGGGAAGTCTGATGGAGCAAGGATATTCTTGACGGCGACATATCAATAATTCGTCATCAGAAAGGACATCCAGGTCGAAGAGGTGTTTAAAGACTTCTTCGGCCTGGTGAGGGGGCACTGGTCGGGAAACTAATTGAAAACCTAGCGCTACAGTAGATTGGAGGTCGGAGACTTCAGGCCGAAGCATGGAGAAGTAAACCTGCAGCCAGAGTTGGAACACCCAGAGAGGTCCATTCTGGTGCGGGTCAATCTTGTTGAGGGTTGTCTCTGCCAAGCAACGAAAAAGGTTGGTGAGGATGGCAGGGTTGAGCGCTAAAAAGTGGCCACTAGCCAGGGCTTCCGCCATCAGCATGTTCTCGACCAAACATTTGTTCGACTTGGTACAACAAATGAATTTGTTATACCAGTAAAACAGGAAGGCCTCGTGTTTTCCCTTCCGCAGACTCGCATTTCCTCTACTGGCAAAATAGAGGATAAGGGTGTTGTAGTTTAGGAAATTCTTTTGCAATTTCTGAACATCGGTTTTTGAAGGCTCTTGACCTTCCTGACTCAATGTCTCGATGGCCCGACCGTCAAACAACGCCTTGAGGTCAAGATTGGAAGGGTATCCGATAAGGGTAGCGTCGATCGGATGCCGGAAGGAGGTGTCCCAATGATAGTCGAGATGTCAATGATGGTAGGAGTCATAGGGCCGAATGGAATGACCATGGTGTTGGTGGCCGAGCACCAAAGGCTAAGAGCTGCCATGAGAAGCTCTTTATCCATTGTAATCCCCATGGTAGAGAGCTTGATGGCGTCGTAAATACCAAGAGTTTTCCACTCCTTACCAAAGAATATTTCCATTCGAATGACCCATGCCACCCAATTCTCATTGGGCGAAGACCAGGATCCTTGGGGTTTTGCCTAGCACCACTTCGACCAATCAAATCCTTGCAGCAAATCTACCAAATAGTGTTCTTTTAACAAGTTGGTGATGGATGACGGCACCGTATCCTTAAAGAGTGGACCCAGAACTTGGTAGTGCTTGACTTACCCTCAAAACGTAGAGTTTTGATAGCATGATGATCGGTGAAATCCTTGCACTTGTTGCACTCAGAAAAGAGTTTTGAGACAAAAGAGGCCATTGAGGAAAGGTTAGAAATTTCTGAGATAAAAGGATCGAAATTCTTGATTTTTGAAAACACAGCGATAAGAAAACTTTAAGGGTTTTGAAAAGCGTAAGGTACGAATGGGAGAAGTCCAAGTATTTATAGACATTTGGGAACTGAAGGCTAAACGGTTGATTTTCAAAATCAAGGGTAGAATCAAGCAGGAGTGATACTAATCATTGTACATGCTCAGAAAACTAAGGCGAAAGGATTGAGGTTTTCGCGAATTGAGGACACATGATGGCGTGTTACGACGGATCTAATGCAGGAGAGACATTTCGACGGTCGCGTGTTTTCAAGGATCATGATTAAAGACTGCTAGGGTAACCAGGGGGTTGACACGTGGCGGCATGATTTGGAAATGTAGATCATGGGATTACGTCTCATAATCACGCATAGGGATGGTTCCCAAGAGTCAGTTTCACTTCTTCAAGGTCGAGGCAGTGTAGATCGATGACCTCAGAAGCGATGGGGCAATGTTTGGGCCCAAAAATATTGTTTTGGGCCGAGCTTAGATCTTTTTCGGCCCAGTATCGGATAGGACAAGTTTAGATTCGTTCTCGGCCCAGAAGTCGTGTACAGGTGTTATTGATATTTAGTCTATGGGCCGCACAGTTAAATTTGGCCATATAATATGGGAAGTTGGAATGTAGACGAATCCTGTTTTGAAAAGGAGTTACGACGGGATCATGATAATGATATTGAATAAAGTTTGATAACAAGTTACGTTCAAAGTCCTATTGGGAATAGGATTGGCCGAGATAAAAGAGTTCTAATCCGAGAGGGATTCGGATTCAATACAGGTTGGCCGTTATAAATAGAGGAGGTTGTGCATCATTCAAGCCCCCTTCAATTCAACACACAACTGTCCTGCGTAAATTCTCTCAACAACCTTGAGACTTTTTCCTTTTCTTTTTTCGCCGACACACCTTCAGTTTGGAAAAACAGCACTGTGAAGGCAACCGATGATATCTTTAGTCGGCATAGATAGCACTGTCACCATAGAACTAGCCGGTCTCGCATCATCTTCAGTCGGCTTAGATAACACTGCGTCGAGGGTGATTGGTTATCTATCCAAGTCTCGGTCGAAAAAGATTTCCGAATCCTTATTGGTCAAGGTCATCTCATTAGCCTTCTCGGTGAAGTGAGGTGTTACAGTTTATTAGGCTCGGCACATTGCACGCCGAGTTAGTTTATGATTGGATACTCTCAAGTGGGATTTAGAGTTCAGCATTCCGACGGCCGAACCACGTTTATTGTTAAGACATATATCCACTTGAGTATTTGTGCCCTTACACTTTGGTGTCGATTCGGCGTGAGTTTACTCTGACGAATACCATCATTGTGATCGAATCCGATGACGACGATTTGTGAACTTTGTAAGAATAGTAGCCTTGTGTTTAGGTAGGTCGAGATGTGTTCCTTCCTCGGTCGCAATCGAAAGATGCAGAAGTCGACCGCGCACTCAACACAACATCAGCATATTTTACTCCTTAGCCAAGCTCGGTCGAAGAGTTGGCATGCCCCGCATTCAACCAAATGTAGTTAGCTCATATATTACTCGGCCTATGCGCCACATAGGCTTGATAGTTTTTAAGGTCAACACAACCATATTCGTCCCAACAGAAGCTATGATACTGCCATTGGCTATGACGGCATGAACCCCAACTATGACCTGTATGCGAAGTTTCAAAAAAATATGGGTACATTATTCATAAAATTCACATAAAAGAAAAAGAGTAAGCAAAGTGAACATTTACCATGTTTACTCGTGAAATCATGGCAAAAACTGAAGAATCGGTAATCATTGTAATTTGTATACCTTTTGCAGCCAACTCTTTTACAATAACATGACCCAGATACCTAACAAATACCAAGTAACCAACAGATCAAAACAAAAGAGGGGAAAGATCGATTAATCAACAAGTAGGTATGATCATGTACAGACTTTGGAGCACCCATAGCAACAAAGACCTGGAATGGTCGTTTCTTCTTTGCAGCACATAGGAACTTCTTCACGGTTATCGACTGACCTAATTAAGGTTAGTACCATCTCACTGAAAAGTAGATGCAGTTGTAATGGAGCCGGGATGGAAAATCAGATATTCATAAGAAACACATATACACAAAGTTCAATTGCTTATCGCAAGATGTGTGTCTAATGTCTATACATAGACTACTATGCTAAGTATGCATTTAATCAGGAGGAGCAAAAATTTCCACTTCAAAATATTAAGAAGCATAGGTTATGAGTTACTGCTGCAAAGCCAATCCATATCCTCTCTTTGGCTTGGTCTATCATGTGCTTTCGGTAGATATTTAGGGAACAAATTTACTAATTAAGAACATTCTGTTATAACCAATCAAATGTTACTTATATAATATATATCAATTTTGCACAGTTTATTGCAAATAGCAAATTCAACAAAGATGTAATATATTAAAATGTTAACACTTGACGAAATTGCATGTAAATCACAAATAACTGACTTGATCGTTGCAGATAGAGGCTTGCAAAGCAATCTCCTAAGACAGAAATACGCCCCTACACCAGTGCAGTAGTTCAAAGGACGTCTATCTTGCAGGATACAACTATCTAATCCAAGTTCTTGCACACGAACTTGGATTCTTGACGAATTGGTAGTGTTGTTCTCTGTAAGGAGTAAAAGGAGCGATTGGATTGATCTATCTTTCGTTTCTGAGCGGACTGCCATATATATAATGGCTTAACTTGAAAAAACGCAACCGTTCGTCCTTATCAGTTACAAAACTGACGTAACTGTTCCCTTAGTTTTATCCTTTCGGAAAAACTGAATCCAAAAATTCAAAATGAAAAAATAAAACTTGTGTTTTTCCGTCAATCCGAGCCCAAGAGCCCCAAGGCCCATCTTTGACATTTAATATACACCCATCTTTGACGTTTAATATTTACACCCAAACCTCCATTTGTAAGGTCCAAGATCCATAGCTTTGGCCCAATTCTTTTCAAACCATAAAGGAGGGAAAAAACTTATAAAGAGGACTTTAGAAATATGTTTGGGCGATGTGGGACTGAGTCCCACTCACAAGTTCCAACACATTCTGGCCAAACTAATTCGTTGGGGATGTAAGACCACAGTATATAACAACGTGTTTGGATTATTCCACGTAAATTCTTATCTACTGATATATGGGGATGATGATCAGAGTTGAGACTTATTATCTCCATGATTTATGGCATCAAAAAGTTTTGAAGCTAGAGAATAAGGGGGCGTTTGTTTGCCCTCACTAAGTGAGACTTGACTGGATTGGACTAGCTGTTAGTCCAATACTGTGTTTGTTCCATGCTGGGACTAACATTAATGAGACTAAAGGGGACTAGCATGGACAAAACCCTTCACTAAAAGGTCTTAGCGAGACCCCCCAATAACCATGGGGCTAGCTAAGACTATCCTCTCTTGTCCTCGTCATGCTCAACAACCACTCCCGATAGACTCCTCGTCATCTTCGGTCACCTAGATCATAAAAAAATATTAATAATTTATATATTAAATAATATAATATTAGAATTTGTTATTATCCAGCTTCTTAGTCCAACACTGCACCAAACGTTTCACTAAGTTAGTCCAGCTTAGTCTAGTCTAAGCCAGTCCAGCTTAGTCTAGTCTAAGCCAGTCCAGCTTAGTCCTTGAAGCTAGTCCAGTCCGAGATAGTCTGGTGCAACAAACGCCCCCTAACATCACTAAGTGCATAGTACACGTGAGAAACCAGAAGAGCATGAATTGAAAAAAAATAAAGAAAATAGTTTCAATGCTTGAAGAAACTCGGTAGTGAAAAAAACATGTTCAGGGTGAAAGAAAAAATTACTTTTGATGCATAAGCTCCACCATCAGATCCGCAATCTGTTCATGGCAAGTTTTTATATCTTCAATGAGGTCATTAACTGCTTCTGTGACAACTTTTGTCAGCTGCAAAGAAAATATGGCAGTTAGTAAAGAAATATATTTTACAATGCCTAACTAAGATTTAATTATGTGTTAGATCTTATATAAACTTAAGCGATTGCTCAAACTTGCCTTTCCCCTGAATTTCATGATTCGTTTAAGCTGGTAAGTGGTAACACAGCGATTTTGGTCCCAAGAAGATCAGCCAATGAAGGGGAACGCAGAAGCCTTTGAGAAGTAACGACAGACACAGGAATGGTTTATCATCTCCCTCATCACTATCTCTATCCTTGCCTTGAGTGGGTAAAAACAAAGTGAAAGCTCCTCTTCCCTAATAATATGGAAAATATGCCTCACGATGTTCCCAATAGCAAAAGGTCCTTGTGTTTGCACCCAAAATGTGCCCATTTTTACTTATTTGGGCCATTGGGGTAAAATATGGTATTTGAAGGATTAATATGCAAGAAAGCTAACTTGGAAAGATATTTGGCTGCAAGTGGATGGGTTTAGCACTATAATATTGTTTTTCCCATTTGTTTGGGTGGTGGAGGTTTGTCAAGCCTTTGTTTAATCAAGATACATGCATCCTTGCAAATGGGTTGGAAGGCAACATACGGATGTGGATGCAGAGAACATGTGAAAGAAGCCAACTAGCTTCTTTTAAATGTTAGTTTATTACAAGTGGGAAAACATGTGATAAAGCATGTGCTGGAAATGCAAGTTCCTCTTTTAATATTATTTCTCCATGCAAGTTGGCAAAACCAATGCAAGCTGCCCAAGTTTCTTTCGGGAAAGTACAAGATTCTCAGCATGTGGCTCTTTTCAAATCTCTATTTAAAGGGGTAGATGCACAAGGATTATGGAGACTCAATCAAACAAACAAATACAAGCACAAACTCTGCTCAAACCAGATTTGCCTTCACAAAGCTGTAGTCAGCCCCCAAGCCTTCATCCTTTTTTAGGATCAGCCTTCACAAAAACCATCTTTTGTTTAGTTTATTAGCTCTGCTGCTCACTTTTAGTATCGATCTCATTTGTAGTCTTTATGTACAACTCATTTTCAGTCATTTAAATTACAAGCAATCTACAATATTAGTCACTTTCCTCTGTCATTTACATTTTCGAGCAACCTTGTCATTTACATATTGTTCTATCTCTCCATATAAGTAAAGTCCTTATTTTTAAGGCAAAGAAAGAACCTTGATTTGAGCAACTCCCACTCAAATGGCACAATCTCTTGATTTGAAGTCAAAAGGCGTAACCTCAATCATTCAAATCCTGTCTACTAGCAGCATCTAGTAGTGGCACGCCCGCACCCACCAATCTCGTATGTGAAGTAAATCCCCGGCTTGCCTGCGAGGCCCATGGCAAATTTAGGGAGCAAACATATTTTGGCACGCCCGGTGGGACCCTTATATAGAGTTAGATTATGAACAATCCTTATGTTCATGATTTTTCTCAATATGCTTTTTCGGAGTATGAGGAGGATGACGGTGTTGAAGAGCGCCCAAGCTATGGCTATCACATAGAGCCAACCTATGAGTCGCCAACTTATGGGTACAAGGCTGAAGAGTACTTAAGTCCTATGAAACATGATTGTCGGCCAACTAATAGCCATCAAATAAATAATAATCTTGAAGATTGGCCAACTTATGGCTATGATGAAGGTTATTATTCTTTTGAAGACTATGATAGGCCAACAAATGGCTTTGAGTATCCAAATGCTTCCAATGAGTACAAAGAGCCAATATATGAGATGCCAACTCATGATCATCCGGATGAAAAGCTCTACAAAGAGGATGTGGGCAAATTAGAGAAGGGGTCCAAACTCCATGTGGCAAGCATCGAGTATGGTGAAGAGGTGACTAATTGTTTTAAAAGGGTGGAGGAAAGCTATACAACTTTTGGAGAAACTTTGAGAAAGTTGATAGATCAAATGTGTCAAATCCCCTCTACAAAGCACACTCACCCTACTACAACCAAGGAATAACAAATCATACACGTTGATGAAGGCCAAACAATGGCCCCACCCAATGAAAAATCCATGAAAATGGATATGGTTGTAGAAGACCAAGCCGTTGTAGGCCAAACACCAATGCTCGGGGGGCTCAAACTCACACCTCATGTGGAGACCGAAGAAGAAGAAAAAAGCTCATACACTCCTCCCCGCCAACACAAGCATGTTATCCATATCGAGATCTCAAGGAGGGCAAAGCTCAGGATCAAACATGAATGGCCACCTCCTATGGTTCCCAAGCTACATAGCATGGCCAATTTAAAAGGTGGATCTGATCTTTCTATACTCAATTTTAAGAAGAGAAAAAGATTTGAGTGTTAAGAGGAAAATAACACATGGGCAGCCAATGGGCTCCTACAACATGCCCGAATGGCTTTCCCTTCTATTATCCTCCTATGCATTTTTTTATTTCCTTTCTTTCTCATTTTCTCTTTCTCTCTTTCTTCCCTTTTTGTCTGTAAGGGCCTTTCTTTGGCTTTTTGAGTTATCAGGCAACAAAAAACAAGAATATATATATATATAACCTTTTCTCATACTCTGCCCGAAAGGGCTGTAGTTTATGTTTCTATTGCCCGACAAGGGCTTTCTTTTTGTTGTTTTGATTTGTCTGAAATGGCTCTCTCTCCCTCGGTCTTTTCCTTTTTGTTTCCTTTCTTTCTTTCTCTTTTCCTTTCCTTTTCTTTTTCTTTCTACTCCTCTGTTTTGCTTACTTGCCCGACTTGGGCAGATGTTGTCTTGCCCGACTGGGTTATCTTACCCAATGAGTGGTTGCCCGAAGGAGCTACAATCTTGCCTGATGGGCAGGACATCTTTTCTACTGCAATTTGTTCAGATGTTGTCAATTAGACATGGGGCCCCATGTTTGATCTGGCAAACGTATTTGAAGTGCTCGTGCCATAGCTGCGCCTAAAGGAGATGCTGGAAATTGCATGGACTCCTCCAACAAACCTGTCAATGGCTTCCTCACCCAAAAATTGCTTGAATGGTGGACAGAACAAGCTATTGTGAGAAACAAGTTAACCAACAACATTGTAGCTCACAGCTGCCCGTCGCTACCTTCCAACATATAGCCAACATAGCAGCTGCAGTTTCAAAGCCAGCCACTACACTTCAACCTTCATCTTCAACTCACCACTAGTTGGAAGAGGTGTGCAGAAATTTACTTTTGCAGCTCACCTAAATGCCCGACCTGGGCTCAGAGGCAAAGTCAGAAAACAAGATGTGTGTCGATTATAATGCAAAAAACCAGACTTGGGCATCAGTTACATATGGGATCTTTCTCTGCATCGATTGATTCGGCCGTTCATTGCAGTCTCGGCGTTCATATCAAGCTTTGTTAGATCTACAAATTGAGACTCGTGGACTCTTAAGTAGCTGAGAACAATGAGCTTCGGGGAAACGACTGTGCACTAGAAAATTGTAAAAACTGGGGGGCTTGGTGCTCGCAAACTTACTGCACAGACAAACGAAAGCTTGTACGATCAGAAACCTGAAAATCCAGTCGTCCTAGTACCAGCATCGTCCTCAACTAACAGTACTTCAACAGCTTGATCATCCTTTGCATCTCGATTTTTGAATTTTGGGATGGACAGTAACTTCCCCAAGAAACTATTTCAAAATACCTCAAAAGTTCAAATTCAGGAGCAAGGAAGAAATTCACAAGGGCAAAATCTATCTCTTCTTCACCATTTAACCAAAGCAGATCTGCTGATGTTAATGCTCAAAAATTCCTTGAAGAAGTTCTTGGGTTCTGCAAGCCACCTCTGGTGTTGATCTATTTGTTGTCAGGGGAAATAATTTAGCCATTGATCTCTTACTGCAAGTGGCCTAATCAATCGATTGTCCTTCCAGGAACAACATGATATCTCTTTCTTAACGAATATCGCTGGGGAGACTGGGAAGAAGCTTAGTTTCTTGGCGGCGGACGTCCAATTTAATGAAGGATCTTCAAGACAGAGTCATGTGATATGCTCTGCATCCATTTGTTAAAAAGCTCACTTGCTAACATCATGTGCAGGGATTGTAAAAGGGGTTTGGCTTTCTTTTTTTTTCTTTTTTTTTCTTGTCCCCTTCTTGCCCGAAAGGGCACTTCTCTTTCTCCCCCTTTTTTTTATTTTTTATTTCTCTCTCTTTCTTTTTCTTTCTTTCTTTCTCCTTGTCTCCTTGTTTCTCTCTTTCTTCCATTTTGCCCGAAAGGGCTCTCTATATATCTATATTATACTACTTGAAATGAGACAAGTACTTACTCTATATATATATATATATATATATATATATATATATATATATATATATATATTATAGAAAAAGAGTTAAGAAAAAGAATCTGGGCACTTTGCCCGAATGGGTTTATATATATATATATATATATATATATATATATGTGTATGTATGTATATATTATATTATATATGAAAAGAGGCAAAAAAAAAAAAGAAGAATAAAAAGGATAGTTGCCCAAGTTTCTCTCTTCTCCATCTTTTTCTATGTTTTCCAGTTTGTCCAATTTATTATCTATGTAACCAGCGAGGTTGCTCCCATGTTTTTTGGTATCCACAAGAAAGAATAGAAGCCAGACAGAAACATTCTTTCCAATGCTAGTTGCACTATCAATTGCCTTGCTCCTCTTGCCAAAGTTTATCAATGACAGAAGGACCGAAGAGGTAGACGTGCCTCTTCCTTCGACATCAATCCTAGCAGCATTGGAGTCGTAAGTTTCACAAACTTGGACCAAATTTGTAAAACTTGGGGGGCTACTGTTTGCACCCAAAATATGCCCATTTTTACTTATTTGGGCCATTGGGGTAAAATATGGTATTTGAAGGATTAATATGCAAGAAAGCTAACTTGGAAAGATATTTGGCTGCAAGTGGATGGGTTTGGCACTATAATATTGTTTTAGAGGTACTCGGCACCAATTCCTGGCCAATTTAAATCTGGTAAGATAATCCATTGGTGACTCATCAGATGCTTGAGACATCCTTGCCAACAAAGAAACTGACATTTCCATCCCTAGCCGATAAAATTGCTCGTGAAATCTCTCGACCAATTCCTCCTAGCTTTGGATGGAATTAGGTGGAAGGTTGATATACCAGGCAAATGCTAAACATGTCATTGAAAAGTTGGACAGCCGCAGCTTGTGAAAATCACTGTTGACATCTCCGCATTGCGCGATGAAACAAGCCACATGTTCTAACGAGGATAAAGACGATTCTCCAGCGAAAAGACTAAAATCTGGAATTTTGAAACCTTTAGGATATTTGAACCATTCCACGTAAGCTGGATATGGATGGATGAATTTCGGAACTTCGGCCCCTTTTTCATGGCCGAATCAATCATCTGCTGGACCTCAGTTATATCGACGGACGTTACTTCACTCTCCGGTCGGGTCCATCTGTCCTGCTACTCGATCCTTCTTTTTTTTCTAAGTCAATTGGCTTGAGCCGAGTAGGGATTGGCTCGGCCTGTACTATTGGTAACAGATTATTCCTTGGTGGCAATTACCGAGAAAGATCGAATGACCTGTCGTCGCAAACCTTGCTAACCAGTATTTCAAGCAATCTGTTTTGTACCTCATTGGTACTGCGTATCACGTCGTGCAGTTTATCGATTCCTCGACTAAACGTCTGTTCAACCGCCCTAGACTATTTGTCAAGTCGTCTTCGAAGAAACGATCTTGTTGGTGGATCAGAACCTTCACCACCATCCTCATCACGGTCCTCCACTATCCCTTCATTGAGAACGCAGGTGTTTTTGTTAGGGATTTCTAGACTGCAAAGCTGACCATCGAGACCAACTTCCTTTTCCCGGCGAGTTATGTTTGTGGACTCAGGTGTCACAGCACTAAGGGGATTCTGTGCCTATGATACACTTTGTCCTATGTTCTGAATTGGCAAATCAGTTGTTGATTTTCCCATAGCTGTTTTTTTTTAACCAATCATGTCTCAATTGGCATGAACTTCGTAGTTTTAGCATTGGGTCCCATTAGGCATGCCAAAATGTTGACTTTAAAAACTACCAAGCCTACGTGGCGCGGAGGTCGAGTAATCTATGAGTTAACTACGTCATTCGGTTGAATGCGGGGTGTGCCAACTCGTCGGTCGAGCTTGACCGAGGAGTAAAATATGTTGATGTTATGTTAAGTGCACGGCCGACTTCTTCGTCTTGCGATTGCGACCGAGGAATGAACACATCTCGGCCTCTTGGGTTCTCAAACCTGAAAACAAGGCTACTATTCTTACGAAGTTCACAAATCGTCATCATCGGATTCGGTCATAGTGATGGTATTCGTCAGAGTAAACTCACGCCGAATCAACACCAAAGTGTAAGGGCACAAATACTAAAAGCGGATATATGTCTTAACAATAAATGTGGTTCGGCCGTCGGAATGTCGAACTCTAAATCCCACTTGAGAGTATCCAATCATAAACTAACTTGGCGTGCAATGTGCCGAGCCTAATAAACTGTAACACCTCACTTCGCTGAGAAGGCTAATGAGATGACCTCGACCAATCAAGATTCGGAAATCTTTTTCGATCGAGACTTGGATAGATAACCAGTCACCCTCAACGCAGTGCTATCTATGCCGACTGAAGATGCTGCGAGACCGGCTGGTTCTACGATGACAGTGCTATCTATGCTGACTAAAGATATCACCGGTTGCCTTCATAATGCTGTTTATCCAAACTGAAGGTGTGTCGGTGAAAAAAGAAAAGGAAAAAGTCTCAAGGTTGTTGAGAGAATTTGCGCAAGGCAGTTGTGTGTTGAATTAAAGGGGGCTTGAATGATGCACAACCTTCTCTATTTATAGCGGCCAACTTGTATTGAATCCCAATCCCTCTCGAATTAGAACTCTTTTATCTCGGCCAATCCTATTCCCAATAGGACTTTGAACGTAACTTGTTATCAAACTTTATTCAATCTCATTATCCTGATCCCGTCGTAACTCCTTTTCAAAACAGAATTTGTCTACATTCCAACTTCCCATATGATATGGCCAAATTTAACCGTGTGGCCCATGGACTAAATATCAATAACACCTGTACACGACTTCTGGGCCGAGAACGAATCTAAACTCGGCCTATCCGATACTGGGCTGAAAAAGATCTAAGCTCGGCCCAAAACAATATTTTTGGGCCCAAACAGGTTGCACTTGCTGCAAAAAAGCATGCTGTTCCATTTGTTTTGGTTGCTGGCACTCTAGGCATAATCAAATTTGAACATATTCACACAACGTTTGGGTAACTTGTTCGTCTCCTTTTAATTTTTATTCCTTGATATATTTTTGTTTGTTTTGCAGTTGGGTCCACTATATTCTAATAATCCAAAGGTTTTGGTGAATGATACGAGATGCCCTTCAGAACCATTTATCTTTTGGGGAATTCTCCGATTAGATCGGCGGTGTAGCTCCTATTCTTAACGTTGTTAATCCTGCATTTGATTATGTGCCACCGGAGCTAGTCTCCTTCTTGTTACTGATATGTAAGACCATGTTTTCCCATCACTATAAGCTTTCCGTTCACATTCAATCAGCTTTATCTTCTATCTAGATGTCTTACCAAGATGTTTAGTTTGCTTTAGTTGTCTTTGTTTTTTTGCATAAATAGCACTACTACACATGCACTCGCACTTTCACCATTGGACAATTTCAGTTGCCCCATTGCAGCTGGACGAAATGAAGTGTCTGGCTATGATGGATGGCAAGCCAAAAAAAATTTCTCATCTCAATGAATCATTCCCCCTTTCACAGTTCAAATTTAAGTGCTCTGAAAGTTATTCTTTCCTTTTTTTCTAACCGATAAGATAAATTCATCTTACTTGCGGTCTCTTCAAGATTTTTGTATACTAGTTCTCATTGTTCTAACTTCGTATGCAGAGGGAGGCCTAATCCATCATACATCTATAGGCTCATTTCAGATTTTTACTCTGCTGATGATTTGGGTCTGCACCAAAAACCAGCTTCTTGAAGTGAATTCTCTAATTCCATGCAAAGATATTTTTGTCCTTTTTATTATGTAAGTTCGAGATACTAGTACTGTTTTTTTCGGCATTCTGATTTTGTCTTGCATTGTGCCTTGAAGTCATTCAGAATTAGATATCAAAATATTTTGGTACATTTAGGGTATCCCATGGAAAATGTTTGCTATGAGATATTGAGTCTTGGGATACTACAGGTTTTCTGAGAAACATGCCTAACTCCGAATAATATTCAACGGAAAACTCGATGCATTATTTTCCCAAAAGATGAAAATCTTAGTTTAGAATAGAATAGAATAGCCAAACGTGCTTCAAAGATTTTGTTTCACTTTAAAAAGTCTGGATATCAAGGTTTCCATGTACTTCCGATAGAATTTTTCTCCGGACAGCAATTTGAATTTTGCCTTGAATGCAAGGCTACTCATTACCACTGAACTTACAATCCCTCTCCTGAATGTTACTGTTTGATGTTTAATTGTGGCTGACTCCTTCCTTGTTATTCATGATTGTTTTTGCTGGAAGGTACACAATGGTCGGAGAAGTGAAACAGTAGAAGGAAAAGTCTAACTCATAAACTTCAAATTATATTTTTGGTGTGTTATCAAATTCAAAAGTGACTGGGATTGAAGGACGAATGCCCTGCTGTTGTTATAGGAGTGTCCGTAGGGTAAGTATAAGAAGTAGAAACTAATCCAATATCTTGACAGTGAAGAACCAGTGAATGTATTTTGTTCTTTAACACAAGCAATATACTTGGGAAGATCAATACATTAGTATTTTTCAGTTCTTATGACAAATGCAGGTATATGGCCGAAAGAAAAATATATATCGGTAGTAGTACAAAATAAAAAAAGAATATAAGAATGAAACAATTTTCTACTTCCTTGATCAAGCAGATGTTGCACACGCAAGAGCCTTAGGCACTCGTGTAATGGTGGGCTTCACGTTTGAACATTCAGAGGTAAGAGGTCCTTTGTTTCCATTGTAGGTGAGATCGATGTCAACCAATTCCACATTCTCACACGGTATGCCACTGCTGCATACAATCTGAACTGCAAGTGGTGTTGCAGATGAGCCCTTAATGTTCTTGAAGCTGACATTGTTGATCTTAACTTTCGAAGCAACGTTCTGTTTACACTGGTTCCACGGGCAATACTGTTGGTCTATGAGGATAGGGTTGCTGACATTGACCATGATAATGTCATCAAAGTGCATATCTGATGCAATACCATCCGAAGGGGAAGCAGGCCATGTTTTAATTCTCACGCCGTTGGAGGTATTAGTCAAGGTACAGTTTTTAACTCTGATTCCAACCACAGGTTCTTCGTTCGGGTACCTTCCAAGACTTTCAATGCTTATGCCATGGCATAGTCCACAAGTAACCCTAGTCACATTGATTTCTTTGTTTCCATCACCAATTGAAACACAGTCATCACCAGTCCTAATGTGTGCATCAGTAATGTTGATTCCAGTTGAATGCCCAATATGGATTCCATCTGTATTTATGCTCACTCCAGGTGCTATGACATTAACACAGTGGAAATTGACATTGTTACACCCCAAAATGTTGATGTGAAAACTCTTGCTATCGAGGGAAGTTATGTCCTGAATTATGGAATTGGTAACGAAGTTGAACCTTATATTAATGGCAATAGATTTGCAATCTTTGTTTATGTTGCAGTCATTTTGCTTCCAAGCAAGTGCTCCTTGCCCGTCAAAAGTTCCACCACCTGATACAGTGAGCATATTAATGTGCTCAAAACCAAACCAAGTATCTGGTTTGGTAAGTTTTCCGCCGTCTGCTGGAGCCTACAATTTCCCTTGGACTTGAATCTCAATAGGAGCCTTGCAAGGACCTTTAAAACTTGCTTCTGTTAACATGTATGTCCCCATTGGAACAACAACCTTACTTGTTGTCGGTGATGCGCACGCATCAGTCCAAGCCTTGGCTAAAGCCTGTGTGATATCAGAGCCGCACCATATGTTGCACTTGTGACATCAAACACTCCGGCCTCAACTTGAGTTTTAGATGCCGACAATAAGAACAAAAACACTGCCAGGATATTCAATTTGCTAGCCATCTTAATTTTTCACTTGATTGTTTTCTTTTAGTTTGAAAGTTGATGAAGCTCCATGTGAGTTTCAGGTCAATTTATAGTCCTACATGAAGGCAGAACAGAAAATATGTAACTAACTGCTAACTATTTTCAAAACCTGTCCTTAAGAAGATGCATTGTAGTTCAACTTTCTATCCTATAATTAGTAATTTGTTTAAAATGAGAATATTAATCACTAACAACAACGCACCTGTCCACCCTAACATACATCAAATGCCAACAAGATTTCTTATAGCATTTCCGACCTGTTCAATCCCATTTTTGTCACTGAAATTTCGTTGGATTCAACCATTGCCATTAAATCTGTGTCTTTGTTACTGATATGATATGTATGATTATTCCTTTCTATCCTTTTATGTAGCATTCTTTTGAAGTTTCGTTACCATTTTCCCATCAGCATTTGTTCATGTGCAGCCTTAAGATGTTTTCTCGGTTTCTACAGAATAATACCCTCTATGCATTGCATTAACATACACTTGCACTTTCACTTTCACTCTGGGGTTTATTTCAGTTGCCCCCATTACACACACCCGGCCACAAACCAAGTGTCCGCAGCTATGATATCATTTATTTACTCAATTTATACAAAAGGAATACAAACAAAACACAACAATTTACTTCGAGAACATTAGTACTTTCTTCTTCTTAGATCAACGGAGGAGGCATCACAATGGATGTAGCGCAAGCAAGAGCTCTGATCAGGCCAGAAATTGTTGGCTTGACATTCAAAGATTGAGAGGTAAGAGTTCCATTGGCTCCATTGTAGGTGAGATCAATGTCAGTCAACTCTACATTCTCACATTGCGAGCCGCTGCTGCACACAATCTTGAGTGCAAGTGCAGTTGCAGATGAGCCCTTAATGTTCTTGAAGCTGACATCGCTGATCTTAACCTTCAACGGAAGAAAATTATCACACTTCCTATACGGGCAATAAAGTTGGTCTATGACAATAGGGTTACCTACATTAACCATGATAATATCCTCAAAGTGTATATCCGAGGCAGTGGTAGCCAAAGGAGAATTCGGCCATGTTTTGATGCGCACACCATTCTGTGTGTTGGTCAGGGTGCAGTTCTTGACTCTGATTCCAGCCAAAGATTCCTCATTGTTGTATCTTCCGAGACTTCCAATGCTTATGCCATGACCTGGACCACAAGTAACGTTGGTCACGGTGATTTGGTTGCTGCCATCACCTATTGAAACACAGTCATCCCCAGTTCCAATGTTTGTGTGAGTAATGTTGATCCCTGTTGATTTCTCAATATGAATTCCGTCAGTATTTTTGCTGTCTCCGGGTGCTGTTATGTGAACGTGTTGGAACGTAACATTGAGGCACCTGAAAACATGGATGTGGAAGTTTTTGCTGTTAAGTGAACTTACGTCCTGAATTGTGGAATTCGTGACGAAGCTGAACCTCAGATTAACGGAACCAGCACAATTTTTGCTTTTGCTGCAGTTATTACGACTCCAAGCAAGTGCTCCTTGGCCATCAAAGGTTCCGCTACCTGATACGGTGATCATGTCACCGTGCTCGAAACCAACCCAAGTCTCATTATTTGTGAGCTCGCTGTCCTATTCTGGAGCCTGCAATGTTCCGTGCACTTGAAGCTCAATCGGAGCCTTGCAAGGACCTCGAAAACTTGCTCCTCTTAACTTGTATGTCCCGCTCGGAACAACAACTTTACTAGCGGACGGTGATGCACACGAGTCATTCCAAGCCTTGGCCAATGCAAAAGTAATATCAGAGCCAGGCTTTGCACCATATTCTGCTCTTGTCACATCAAAAACACTAGAATCGTGTTCGGACTCATGAGCTTTACTTGTAGATGTTAACAATAACAACACAAACATTCCCAATACACACATTTTTTGATTAAATTTGATTGTTCGCCTTCTTAATTATTTTTCGTTTTTTCTGTTCTGATGGATGATGAAACTCCGTTTTGGTTTTGGGCCAATTTATAGTCGGAATCGAAGTCCCAATACCATCAACGTATCAACCAATGACTTGCTATTTATATACAAGTCCTAAAGGAGTTGCACAGCAGTTCAACTTCTGTGCCCTATGATTAGTAAGTTGTATAGCCTTAGAAGCATCCATCACCAACAAGAACTTGCTAAGTTGTTGATAATATGCTTTCCTCCTCAAAGACACCGAGTGCCAGTTGAAATTTCCCGAGTTTCTGCCCACTAATGGCCGGACTTTCCAGAAAATGAGGACCAAAACGATGAAATACAATATCATAACAGAGTTAAGCAAGATCAACAGGAAAAGAAGACACGGAAATTGGCGATTCGTTGATTTCTTTCAAACAAAGAAAAACTTGTTCTTCAAATGTTTTTACTCAATCACAAATTTCAGTTGCCACAGAGCCGCCCTAACTAGTCATCACCTAACTTTTGTAATCATCCAACTAAAAAGTGCTTCATCTTAACAACTGCAATCATCCAGTACTGGCAGTATTTTTGCCAAGCCTTGTAGCGTGGGCCTTTAGCTAAAGTGAACGTGACTTCAAATTTTTTCATAATATTTTCGGGATCTGTTTAATGAACATCCATTCCCGCATTTCTTGCTGTTATTATCTGAACATGGAGTAGTGCACGCCAAGTTTTCATGTTAAGCAAATTGAGCTCTTACTGAGAGACTAGAGCACAAAAATGCCTTTTATCCCCCAAAGAACAGGGAAAATTACGTTGTATGACATACATCAGCTGTTTTAACCATTAGATGAGACGGGTTCACTTTTCCCTCTAGAGTACAGAATGATAACTGACGTTGGATCTGCAACGTATCATAGATAAAAAAGAAAAAACAAGACGACCTATATTTGCAGAAATATGCATGCTCTGTTGTGACATTCCTTGTGCTTGAAGCAAATAATCGTCATAGACTTAATCGACCACACATACATCGGAGAGAGCAAAGAACTTGCTGGTTGCAGTAATGGAAACTAAAGCTCAAGATTGAAAAAAATATTTGGAACTAAGTGATCGGGCATGCCTTACAATAGAACTAGTGTACAAAACCAAGAATCATAACTTGCGAAGATCAATCCCTGCCTTCTTGGCAACGGCATCAATCCCGTTCTTCTCTATGGTCTTCAATGCTTTGGTCGACAAACGCAGTTTAAGAAAGCGCTTCCCAGCTTCCCACCAAACCCTCTTGTACTGTAGGTTCACAAACTGCAACTTCTTGGTCTTGTGGGCTGAGAAGGAAATCTTGTTTGCCCTGTTTGCTTTCTTCCCAGTGAAAGGACAAATTCTACCTGAAGAGGATGAACAAATCACAATGTAAATCAATTTTCACCATTCTAACGAAACTTAGTAAATTAAATAATGACCAAATGACCACGAGAGTTGAGAACAAATGCAATTACAAGGCATATGCCATATCTTAAACCCCCAGCAGCACAAAGGAACATCAAAACTCTAAAAACTGTTAATGAACTAAGACATTCATTTGAACTCTGGGGGAACAGAAGCACAAAGTGCAAACAAAACGATGCTATGCCAAAGCTCAGTTAAACCAGCTCCCACAAAATCTTCAAAAATCCTTCTATTCCTCTCCATCCAAACCACCCAAAACAAAGCAAGGATCACACTGCTCTTTTCAAACAATCTCGTAACCAAATGTCGATGAAGCCAACCATTTACATTTTCTCTTATTAAAAATAGGAAAACATATTCAACTTACTCCAGCATCAGACTATCTGGTGACCAAAATCACTGTGTTTCCCTACTACCATGTATAGCAAATGCATTTGTACCCCTATATTCCCACTCCAAAAAAATTAACGAAATGAGCAGACATGCGTTAGGCTAGTTGGCTTGAGTAGTGAGTCTGGCATTCACCCAAGTTCGAATCCAACTCCCCCGTAGATTACAGTAGCTTAGAATATCGTCTCATAAAAAAAAAGGCGTACATTTTACGTATAACAAAGTGATACATTTTTAAAGACAAATGGGTACATTATTAAGTAAATGAAAAAATTTGCTGAGCTTCATTTTATCATCACATCAAATTTCCAAACATGTAAAACAATTCTCTAATTCACTGTCTAATTGGGCAAAGCAGACTTTCCAAAAATGCACTTAATTACATAATTAACAAAAATTAAAAGCGACTAACCAAAATTTCTACATAAACATATGAGCAGAGAAAACATGGGAGATGAAAGGTGAGAGATTTACGGGCAACGATGGGCTGAAGGGCGGGGAGGGAATGAGTGGAGATACTGGGAAGCTGAGACGACATGTCGTAGGAGATTCTGACGCCGCTCAGCTGACTGGTAACGAACCCGACGTCGGAAACTGCGTCCGCCTTGAAAGGGTGCGGGAATCGCTTGGAAGCGTCGGCCCTGCGGAAGCACGGAGTTCGGGTGGTGCCGAAGAACACGGCGGTGGTTGCCGATGCTGCTGCCATTGCTGCTCTTCTCAGTGAAGAACTCTGGGAGCTCGGTTATCTCTTTGGTCTCTTATCTGTATTTTCTGAAAGTGGATTCTGCGGTGGATTGCAGCCTCTGGTTTTGGAGGGACATGGCATAGCGTGGGCTGTGGCTATGATGGGCTTAACGTCTGGGCCTTGAACCTCTTTTGAGTGGGCTCTCTCAACTGAAATATCATTTCCAACTTTTGTAGCCACTGAATTTAAATTCTATATGCTATTATTCCAAACTCTCACTCCTCTTAGTGTAAAAAATCGCATTTGTATCCGAAACAATCTAAACAATTTGAAGCTTCATTGTGCAATATGAAAAAATTGTAACTTGATAGCCATTTTGAACACCACCCAAACCCGAAGGGTGTGAGACACAATTAGCCCTATAATATAAGTAAAAACTTATCATCCTGATTTTTTCATCTTTACACATTGGTCCCTCCGTTGGTTAAATTTTAGTGTAAATATAAGTTTACTACTCTCAAGTTTCGTGGTTTTCAACATTTGGTATATAAAGTTTTTTTCATCCCAGAGTCATACTTAAAGTGTTAATTTTGGAACAATTTCATACATCCATTAGTCTGACTGTTAAGTATTCCGTTAACTGATGATGTGGTTCTTATATATATAAAAACTGGATGTCACATGTCATTAAGAGGTCCACGTGGAAATTAAAAATTCAAGTTGGCCCCACTTAGACATTAAAAATTAATAAAAAATTAAATCTTTAAAACAAAATTAAAATTTGTTTTCTGGGCTGTTTCCTACTCTTCCCCCCCGAGTCCCAACACTTCCTCCTTCCCTCCCTCCCTCCCTCCCTTCTCTCCTCTCCACCCACCCAACCCTAAATTCAATTGATTGTCCAACTCCCACTTCGATGGCCACCATCCCCCTCCTTTACCATTAGTTCCCACCGTAATTAATTCTCGCTTTCAATTCTTCTTCTCTACACGAAGACACCCAAATCTTGCAGGTACTCTTTCTCTCCTCCTCGATCTGTCTCTCTACCTCTATGATTTTTTTTTTTCTTCCATTTTTTGTGAATTTGATGGAAGTTCATAATCAAATCTCCGCCAAGAACAAGTGGATTTGCAGGATGTCAGGGTCTCCAGGCTGGATGTGGGTAGGGGTCCGATTCGGGAGCGCCCAACGGTACAAATTCCTAGTCGGATTCGGGAAGATCCACGTCGGCGTCGGATTTCAAGCGAAGGCTTGGAGGCCTTGACCGGATCCGCAAGAGGAGGATAGAGATATGTTAAGACCCTTTTCCTATTTCCTTAGTTATTTCCTTTATCTAGTAGTGGATCAATAGTAGGATAGTGACTCAGTATGTTTACCTAACATTCTTGTCTGTAGTGCAGGTGGGGGCATATTATCCCTGTTACGACTTCCATTTAGGATAGGAATGAAAAGCTGTTCTTTTACAATTTCTCTGTCATTTCCTTTTTCTCTGCAAATTCGCCTCTTGGTCTCCTCTGGAACCTATCATTTGGTATCCAGAGCCAGGTTGGAGACCATGGGCAAAAGTAAGGCGTCCGTTATGGTGGCGAATGTACCAGAGGACGAGTTGGACCGTGAGTTTCAACAACACCAGATACTCACCCAGCTACTGGAGTTTCAGGAATCCATCTCGCTGTTGAATATCCGCTACGACGACCTGTAGTACACCATGGCCGATCTTTCGATCCACCGGGTTCGTCAGGATCAATTGCAGCAAACGATTTTGACGAAGTTCGTGCCCTCAAAAACCTTCCCCTACCCAACCCACAAATTCCAATCGGCTCCATTCCTGTTTCGCTAGGACCCACCCCCTTCTCTGCCTCCATACCCCCATACCACCATCGACATGGTCTCTCTCTCCTTCCCCACCCTTCCTAACAACTCAACCCCCGGGATCTCACCTCACGCCCGGGACCTCATCCCTTCCCTTCACCCCAACAACCACCACCACCCAGGCTCTGAACCGACCCTCCACCTCCCGCTACCTTCCCCTATCCACAACTGGGCCTACCACCTCTTTTGTTCCCTCCGACCCGTCTTACACCCACACACCCTAACCCACTTCCCCGACCTTTCCTGGGCATAAACACCTCAAAATCGAACTTCCTCGTTTCTTTGGAGACAACCCTTACGGATGGATTGCGATGGCTGGGGAGTTTTTAGACTATCACGAGATAACCGAGCACCGCCGTGTCATAGTGGCGGGTCTTCATCTTGGAGGCGACGCAGCCCACTGGCTCCATTGGTTCAAGCTACGATTCCCCCTCTCCTCATGGGCCACCTTCACGACCCAGCTGCTGCAACGATTTGGCCCAACTGACTCTTTGAACATTAATATGGCCTTGTCCCATATCACGCAGACCACCACAGTGGAAGCGTATGTGGGCCAGTTCATTCACCTTTCTTGCCGCATTCCGGACTGGACCGAAGCTCAACTACTGGGCAGGTTTTTGGAAGCCTAAAAAATGAGCTGCAAGATGATGTCGTGGCCCAGGGACCTTCCTCTCTAGCACGAGCAATTGAACTCGCTCGTATCTACAAGCACAAACAGGGTCGCCGACCAGCGGTCCGTCTCGGACACTATCGTTCCTCCCTTTACATTTCTAAACAACCCTTTTTCCCCTCACCCACCCCACATAACCAACCCATTACATCTCGACCTCCTCCTACAACACTAACCCCTCCTCTACCAAAACCAATCCTACAGCTCACCTAGGCCAAGATGCGCAACCGCCGCGAGCATGGCCTCTGCTTCAACTGTGATGACCAGTATCGACCCGGTCACCGGTGTCGTCAATCCCACATCCTACTGTTACTAGCGGATGAGGAAGATCCCGACCCTGTTCCAGCGAAAGAGATTCCCGCACCACCGCCCCCTGCCGTGGTGGAACATCCGGAGCATCCCATCGCCCTCAATGCCATATCAGCCACTAAGCGTGCTAGGGGCCGTGCGATGCACTTGGACAGATTCATTTTCCAAACACCGATCCAAGTCTTCATCGACTTTGGTGCTGATCAAAGTTTTCTCAACCCGCAAGTGATGACTCGTTTGGGCTTACACGTTGACCCGTCTCGAACTGAGGCAATCATGGTCGCCACAGGACGTTGTTTTCGCACCAAAGGGGTGGCTCACTAAGTTTCAGTGCGCATTTAGAGCTATACATTTACCAGTGACTTTCACATTCTTGCGGTGGCGGGATGTGACATGGTATTAGGAATGGATTGGTTGGAAACACTGGGTTTCATCGGATGGAATTTTTTGTTAAAAATTATGGAATTCTCAATCCATAGAACTAATTACCGATTGGTTGGGTCCTCGAATCCCCCTGTTCTGCACTCTCCTATGCCTACAAGTATTGAGATTGTTCCTGGCAAGCCTCTCCATGCTGTATCCCAGTTGTCAAGCCTTACTCACCCCTTTCACCAACCTAATCCACCACCGGCCCTACTTCAATCCATCCTCACTAAATATAACAGTCTCTTCCAACCCCCAACATCCTTGCCCCCTCATCGCGAGATCGATCATAGAATTCCCTTACTCCCAGGTACGGGGCCTAACAATGTTCGACCATATCGTTACGGGCATGCCCAAAAAATCGAATTGGAGCGTCAAGTTGACGAGATGCTCGTCGCAGGCATTATCCGCCCCAGCTCGAGTCTCTTCTCGTCCCCAGCCTTATTAGTGGCCAAAACTGACTTGTCATGGCGTTTTTGTGTGGATTATAGAGAGCTAAATGCCATCACCATCAAAGATTGCTTCTCGGTCCCTATTATTGATGAACTATTGGCTGAATTGAAAGGTGTTATGATATTTCCTAAATTGGATCTCCACTCCGGGTACCACTAAATCTGAATGCATGAGGCGGACATCCATAAGACGGCGTTTCGCACACATGAAGGCCATTACCAATTCACAGTTATGCCATTTGGCCTGACCAACGCGCCAGCCACCTTCCAAGCACTGATGAATTCAATCTTGAAGCCCTTGCTCTGGAAATCCGTTCTCGTCTTTTTTTATGATATTTTAGTCTTCAATGACTCCCTCGACTGCCGTGTTTCCCACCTCACAGCCGTGTTCGACATTCTCCAGTTACACCACTTGCGGTTGAAACCATCCAAATGTAATTTTGGTCAGGACTCGATTGCCTATTTAGGCCATATCATTTCAGCTAGTGGGGTTCAGGTTGACCCATCCAAAATTGCAGCTATTGTGGAATGGTCGACGCCTACAAGTCTTAGGGGCCTTCACGGATTCTTGGGTCTAGCAGGATACTACCACAAATTTGTCTGCCATTTTGGTCTCATTGCCAAGCCTCTTACAGACTTGCTCAAAAAAGACAGTTTCCTTTGGTCCCCAGCAGCCGACACGGCATTCTCGGCCCTTAAACTTGCACTATCCACCACACCAGTGCTGGCTCTCCCGGACTTCACCAAGCCGTTCACTCTCGAGTGTGACGCTTCAAACGTTGGTATAAAAGCAGTGTTGGCACAAGATAACCATCCCATCGAGTTCCTCAGTAAGCCCTTGGCCCTCAAACACCAAACCTTGTCAATGTACGATAACAAAATGATGGCTGCAGTGTTTGCTGTACAAAAGTGGCGCCCATACTTGATTGGTCATCACTTCAAAATTCTCACCGATCACCAAACCCTCAAATATTTCTTGGACCAACGACTTACTACTCCGGCACAACAAAAGTGGCTGTTGAAACTACTTGGGTACAACTATACCTTGGAATATCGTCCAGGGGCTTCTAATGCAGCTGCTGATGTACTGTCCTGCCGTTCCGACCTTCTATCTCTAATAGGGATATCACAACCACTATTTGATTGTGTATCCGAGATTCAGAATTCCTATGCGGCCGATCCTTCCACAGCCAAGCTTCTTCAGAACTTACAACATAACCCCCACAATACAGGCTCTTTTAAGCTGCAAGGTGACCTGATTTATTACAAGAACGGTATTTTCGTACATTCCACATCTCAGTGGCGTGCCCGCCTTCTACAGGAATTCCATGCTTCTCCTTCTTCCGGACATTCTGGGTTCTTACGGACATACAAACGCATCACTCATAACTTTAATTGGCCCGGCATCAAAAAAGAGGTTAAAAGCTTCGTGGTCGCTTGTGATGTCTGCCAACGAACTCATTATGAAACCATTAAACCACCAAGACTTCTACAGCCACTCTCGGTGCCGACCCAAGTGTGGACTGATATTGCTATGGACTTTGTCGAAGGTCTTCCCTCGAACCATGGCAAGAATGCTATTTTGGTAGTGGTGGATCGTCTTTCTAAATACTGTCACTTCATTCCTATCCAGCACCCCTACTCCGCTCCACAGATTGCTGAAGTCTTTATTCAGGAGGTGTTCAGATTGCACGGGATGCCTGCTTCTATTGTTAGTGATCGCGACCCGATTTTCCTTGGTGAGTTTTGGACAACCTTCTTCAAACACCAACAGACGGCACTTTGCAAAAGCTCTGCCTATCACCCACAAACGGATGGCCAGATAGAAGTTCTTAACAGGACATTAGAGCATTATCTTCGCAGCTTTGCCATGGACAAACCCATTACTTGGATTCGATGGCTGCTATGGGCGAAATGGTGGTATAACACCAGCTTTCAGTCAACCATCCAAATGACTCCATTCCAGGCAGTCTACGGCTATCCTCCACCCACTGTGCAGTTCTACCTTCCCGGCTCCTCTCCGGCTCATTTGGTGGATGTCACTCTCAGGAACCGAGACATCTTTCTTAAGCATCTCAAGGAGAACATGCACATGGCACAACAGCGCATGAAGCAATAGGCAGACAAGCATTGATCGGAAAGGACTTTTCAATTGGGGATTGGGTCTTCCTCAAACTCCAACCGTATCGGCAAACTTCTGTGTCCAAAACTCACTGCCCAAAACTGGCCCCGCGTTATTACGGACCATTTCAAGTGCTCGCTCGCGTCAGCCAAGTCGCCTACACATTGGACCTTCCTCCTCAGTCCCGCATTCACCCTACTTTTCATGTGTCACTCCACAAACCCAAGCTTGGTGCTCATTCTGTGACTTCAGCAAAACTACCCCCAGTGGCCGCTGATGGCTCCTTTCTATGGTTTCCAGAGCGCACCCTGCAACGTGGCATGTTCAAACGACACAACAAGGCCGTCACTCGCTAGTTAATCAAATGGCAAGGTCTACCGGAGCATGACGTAACATGGGAAGATGCTGACTCCATAGCAACTCGTTTTCCAGATTTTGACGCCTGAGGACAGGCTTGTTCTATGGGAGGTGCCCTGTTAAGACCTTTTTCCCATTTCCTTAGTTATTTCCTTTATCTAGTAATGGATCAGTAGTAGGATAGTGACTCAGCATGTTTACCTAACACTCTTGTCTGTAGTGCGGGTGGGGGCATATTATCCCTATTGCGACTCCCATTTGGGATAGGAATGAAAAGCTGTTCTTTTACAATTTCTCTGTCATTTCCTTTTTCTCTGCAAATTCGCCTCTTGGTCCCCCCTAGAACCTATCAAGATATGCGGCCTTGGGCTTGGCATGTTGGAGGATTGGGCTCCGTGAATAACTTATGCGGCGGCGTCTCTTGGCTAAGGTTGGGTTTTAAGGTGGAGGATGGGGTTAGGTTTTGGGATGAGGAGGATGAGGGTTTGGAGCAGAAGGTTGCTGGGGATTTGCAATGGTGAAGACGGAGGTTTGAAATGGGAAAGGGAAAAACCCTTAGTTTTTTTTTCTTTAAATTTTTATTCTTGTTTTTAAGTTTTAATTTATTATTATTTTTTTTTTAAGTTTTAATTATTTTTTAATTATTTTTTAATGTCCAAGTAGGGCCAGCTTGAATTTTTAATTTCCATGTGGATCCCTTAATGACACGTGACGTTTAGTTCTTGTCCACATGAACGTCACATCCTCAGTTAACGAAAGACTTAATAGTCAGACTAACGGATGTATGAGACTATTCCAAAATTAACAATTTAGGTATGACTCTGGGATGAAAAAACTTCATGTACCAAATGTTGAAAATCACGAAACTTAAGAGTAGTAAACTAATATTTACCCTAAATTTTAATAAGAGTTTAACTAACGACGTGACCAATAATAGCGTAGGGATTTGCATTTTGATGAGACGTTTATGAAATCTTTTATAAAATGGACCAAATTGTCACATCCCTAAACCATATGGGTGCAAAACGAGATTGTCCCTTTTCCTTTAGGGCTAAGAATTGAACTCTTACCCTAGATATGATGAGAATGAAGTGCTCCCTTGCTGGACAAAGCCTAAGGCAGCAGCATTCTAGCCCAATTTTTTAGTGGAATCACCTTAATCTCCTACCCTTCTCCAAAACATGGCAATATAAAGATATGAAAGAGAACCCGGCTCGTAAGCCGGGCTCAAGAAGATGGTTGCCCTAGGAGAGGGCTTTGAGCCTCAAATTGAATCATCCAAAAAGCAGTCAAGAAAATGGCCTGATGCCACTAATAAAGTCTCAAATCGCACAAAACTACTAATGTTGTTCAAGTTATAGAATAGCTTATGGCTTTGAAGGTTTGGCTCGAGTTCAACGTGAACTCAAGGGTTTAACAACAGCGGACAATGATCAACAAATCCGCAGTTACAACTTTAATCGTTCAACTACTAAGCATACTTTGGACTAATCATGACCCAGATGAGCATAGGATTTTAGGCTCCACAAGCTTTCAGAAACTAGTTCCCATTTTCACCAAGATATTTACATAGCTAGCCTTCCATTTATTTCACCGGGCATTTTCCCTCCGGCGCACGTAACGGGTTCTATCATTGTACCTTGGTCTGTCCTGAGCTCTTGACGGCTGTGGCTCCACCCTCCTCTGCCTTTCTGGCGACCTCTGAACAATTTCTCCGTTCACAAACAACTCAGCTGCATTAAAGAAAGTTACAATCATGAGTTACAAGAATAGGTTGCATTTAGAAGTTTGAAAATAATTAAGAGAGAATGAACAAATTCAGAACAAGCATCCATTTAAAACAGCGGTGAACATGCAACAGTGGCAAACCATTTAGCAGGAGAACAGTATACAATGCAGATATGTACATACTTGTTTCTAAAAACAAAGTTATGCCTTTTTTTAACAAGGAATTCTGTATAATCTGAAAGAAATCAAAATTAACAGCTCCAAAATAACACAAATTAATGAGAGAAAATGGAACCGCATAGGAATTACAAGTCTGAGATGAATGAACTATCACATGACAAATTCTAACCAAATGTATTGACTCCAATGATTCCGAAACACCACAATGTTCAAGAAGCAACAGAACAGGATGAAGTGAATCATTATAAGTCCATTAGCATTCAAAGCTAGGCATTGCCAACTGAGGGCTATTAGCTTTTGCCAAGATGGACTGCAGGTTGCATTGTCAGCAAGGTTGTCTTTTCAATGATAAAGCTCACGAAATGTATCAACTCCAATGATTCTGAAACTCCACAACACTCAAGAAGCAACAGAATAGGAAGAAGTGAATCATTATAAGTCCATTAGCATTCAAAGCTAGGCATCGCCAAGATGGACTGGGAGTTAAACGAAAAGAAATATAAATGTTAACCAAACAAACTTTTAAAAACGATGTCTTTCCAATTTTTGAAAAATTAATGTTAGTCAATAGCCAACATATTGGAGGCTGCAACTTCATAAAACACAAACCCAAAGAAAGATGAATGGCATCAAAATTGCACTACACTAAAAAAATCTTATAGTATGTTTCATCTCCACTGATCTGCATTTCCACATAGTATTAAGTACAGAAGAGTCAAGAGAGACATTTGATATAAGTCCATTAGGATTCAAAGTTAAATAATGCCTATAAGGCCTATTTAACTTCTCCAAGATGGACAACGAATCTTGAAAAGAATGCAGGCAAACCGTAACCTATAGTAACCTATACAGAGAAAAAAGGAAAACAGATAGTCTTCCATCATTCAATTGGATAGTTGAAAAAGTAAAACTACTGCTTAGACCTCAGAACCGACACCATGTCACTTCAAGCAACTTCCATGTTGAAATGTGGGTGCATGCGGATTAAAATTAGAACACACGAGATCTGAAATCACAGTTCTTAAACTTTAGATCCTTAAACACTTACCACCGTAGTCTTTGAATTCAGGATCAACATACGAATCCGGAAGAATAAAAAGAACACCGGGCAAGCCTGATAACAAGAAAAGAATCATAAACATGAATAAACAGTATGAATAATCTACTAATTATACTTAGAAATTATAACATAGCTGCAATTTAACAGCACAAACCTTCAAGCCTATTTGAGGTCTCCTCATCAATCTCACAACCAAAACCAAAATACCTCTCGCATGACACATTGTATATCTTCTTCTTTGCTTCTTCCTCACTGCCACACCACACCAAGCAACAAAAGCCCACATCTTAAATATAATTATGTAAACGTAAACCCGAAGATACAAACAAAATTCAACCATTGAATTGCAAACATATTTCTATTTGCCATTAAGTATACATATCTATCATCATCACATCAAGAAGTAGCAAAGAATAAATAAGCGAAAATTCTCATAAAAAAAATAAAAATAAAAAAAGAAGTCACTTAGGAAATACACTATAAATAAAATTCACATATATCAAAACGTGAATTTTCTTTTTCCAGTTATTTTTCATCATTTTCCCAGCAAACCAAACAAGAAATCAAAGAACCCATTACCTCCCAACAACTTTAGCCAGGGTCTGAACATAGCAATCGATCATCTGCTGCTTTGTAGCACCCTCCCCACCGGGCTTATCCATGACGATGAGCCAGTGCTCGTAGTCACAGCCAGGAAATAGCGGTGCCATTTCAGTGGGTGGACGGTCGCTGAAGTTGGAACCTGAGTTAAGGGGCGAGTAAGAACCGCCAGAGCGGTTGACCCGGCAGCGGATCGGAGTGTATCGGGTGGTGGCGGTAGGGAATCGGACGGCGTGGGAAAGAGGGGCGAGGGATCGACGGCCGAGCATGAGGGATGGGATGGAGAGAGGTTGGGTGAGTCTGGAAGTGGAGAAGAGGCATTTGGGTATGAGGAGAGAGATTGTGGGGTGGCGAGCGGTTGCGGTGGTGGTGGCGGCGGCCATGGCAATTGCTCGGACTAGGGTTTGAACCATTTTTGGGGGACTGAGGGAGAGTGAGAGTCAGGAAATGAGATGAGGGTTTAGGGTTTAGGGTTTAGGGTGGGGGATAAGGTTTAACAGGGGAGTTTTCTTTTAGATTTTTGTTAGGTCTTTTGGGTTGGGCCACTACAACTGGTATTGGGCTACTTTCTGGGCTTGAAATGTTTTTTTTTTCAAAATTAGGCCCTTTTCTCTATACAAAATGTCATCCAATTATTTCTGTACAGAGTGTGGTCAGATAGTCACGTAATATAATCGTCCATACCAAAAAAAATTCTCAAAATTCACTTATATATGGTACTTTGTAAACTTAACCTACTTTTTTCTTGGTTAAAAAGAAAATAGAGTTAAATTCACCAGTGAAACCTTTTTTGTTTTTTTAGAACCAAAACTAGAGAAACTCAAAGATGGGGACTTATAAATTGTGCTATTAGTGAATATTTTCCAATGATCAAATCATTCCTCCACTCAATAACTCAGAGAATTGTTCATGATGTAATCTTGGTATAGATCAATTTTAGAGTGAATAACGACATGTATACTTAACATAAATATAATAAGGAGGGAATGAGAGAACCTAAAGGGAAGTTAGTCCTAAATACTGGAAACTAAAAGTGAACTGATTCCCATTCTTATATTTTAGTAAATGTAAAGAATTTAAGAATTAAAATAATTTTCATTTTCATTTCTTGAAAGTAAACATGCCTAAGAGCGTTGAAATCTATAAATGACTTTGAGGATTTAAGTAAACTTGGCATCCCAATCTTTTGATTCTCAATCTAAGGTCATCATCACACATTAACAAATTATGTACTAATTCGTAATTGGAATTGAAGAAACTGAGAAAAACTAGTGAATTAAGAAAAATTGAAATCTACAACCAATCGGAATAAGTCATCAACAATATATTAATGCTCAACATTCTTTTCTATTTTTTGTTTCACACATGAAACTAACTGTATTTTTGCCACTTAGAACACCTAATTCTATCAAGGACAAAATGTTATCACATAGTTAGGTCCACCAGTACATGTAAAAGTGCTAGTTTTAGCATCATAAGCATAACTATAAGCATGTGGGCACTGGCTCTTGAAGATCTTTGAATATTCGGTCGAAGGGCATGTCGTAGGACTCCCATAGGCACCTGTGCAACAATATTGCGGCTTATTGAAAGCCAAACATGCATTTTTTTTCAAGCAGTCACACTCTCATTTGGTCCTTTCACACCCAATTCATTAAGGCAAACATTGTTCACATCCCCTGGGCAGCTCGTCGCACTACATCCACCGAACCTTCCCGGTGGAGCTACACCAAGATGCACATTGAATCTGTCAACGAGGCTGACATCGTAGAAATCTTGTCCTCCACCTGGAGCAAGTGTCAACTCTATCAATGATGCTAGCAAGATTGCACCAGCATCGTTGCATGAGACCTAGCCAGATGCGTAGTCTGCGGTTTCACAAACAAACTTTCTTGATGCATCTGTAGAGCAATGAGTTTTGCCCCATAAATGGTCGGACCAAGGTGAAAGGACATCTAACAATGAGGAGGCACCAGATGCTAGCTCAAATCTAGTGGAAGATAATTGTGCACCACTCCTGGTTAGGGTTCCTGGCCAAACTGTAAAGGCGCACTTGTTTTGGAATGTGAATTTGGCGGCATTAGCACCTGCGTGTCATGCAACACAAAAGGTAAACAAAAGAATGAACATAAAAATCATCTTATGCAACATCAAACTTGCGTTGTTTCAAATATGAATTTGATCATATTAAAATAGAGGTATTCATTAATTTACCCCTTGAACTTGTAAGGATGAGCCAATTTCCTCCCTCCACTTTAATTTTAGCCAATTTCCACCCTAAACTCTCCTAGTTAGTCAATTTGTACCCTACTGTTAAATTTTTTTAATTTTTCATCCATTATTCCATTATCTTCTTCCTTTTCTCTGAACTTTCTCTTCTTCTTCCTTTTCTCTAAGCCGAGCCTGTGCTAATTCCACCGGTGCTTCACCAGCACGATTTTCCTGGTAAACACCAAAAGAAACAGCCGGAGGGATCTGAGCTCGTAAATCCGCGTTCACTTCTGGAGATCCATTCACTCCTCAATTTTTGGCGAAGGTGAGGGAGAAAGAGGGCTCGGACAAGAAGGCAGAGGACGGCGCTGTCGTAGAGGGGAGTGGCAGAGAGCTTGGCAATGTAAAATGCCTAGTTCTTAGTCGCAACCTCATTTCATAGAAAACTTACCCAAAACGCAGCGTTTTGGTAGCTAAAGAGCGTTTAGGTTTTTGTTCCTCCAACAATCATAAACCCTCATCTCACAGTATGCTTCTCTCTCCTCCCCCTTTCTCTAAAAATGCGGCCTTTATAGCCTCTGCAACTTCGTCGGCTCCTGCTTCGTTACCTTTTTACCTTCATCATCATTGTCGTCTTCCCAAACACTCTAAACCCACATTCCATTTCTCCCCCAAAACCCCACCCATTTCCGCCATTCCCGACCCACCATAGTCACCAGAACAAGCTCCCACTTTCTATCTCTACCCTATTTCTTTCTCTCTAAACCCTTTTCTTCCTCCACCCCACCGAACCAAGATCTAGATCAATCCGAATTAGCTCAGTCTCTCTCTTCTAAGCTCCTACAAGATTCTAGCTCTAACCCCTTCTCTGTAACCCAACGCCTCCAATTAAGCTTCTCCCACATCACCCCGACAGCTCCTGTGGTCCTTAACATACTCAATCTGTCCTCCAAGGCCAACCGTACGATTTTAGGGTTTAACCAGTGGCTTAAGCCCAGCATGGGCTTGGCTTGGAGAAAAGGAAGAAGAAGAAGAGAAAGTTCGGAGAAAAAGAAGAAGATAACGGAAGAATGGGTGAAAAATTAAAAAATTTAACAATAAGGTGCAAATTGACTAATTATGAAAGTTGAGGGGGGAAATTGGCCAAAATTAAAGTTGAGGGGAGAAATTGGCCAATCCTTACAAGTTCATAAGGTAAATTGATGAATACCTCTATTAAAATATTACATCTCTTATAACTACGATCATGAATTTCTTTATCTTTATATTATGCTAATGCCAACACAAATTAAAGATCAACTCGAATATAAATTATAGACAAGAAATATATAAAAATAAACAAGAGTGTGCACAAAAAAAAAAAGCCTACAAAAATCACATCTTAAAAATATAAACAAATCCTAAATTGTATACACGAATTTCCTTATAACAAAATCCATACAAAGCCTTTTATGACCATTATATTATCATTTAAAATCAATAAATAGATTTATAAAAATAAATAAAGGTCGACAGAAATAGAAAATGAGCATTTGCACATCATTTCTCCAAAACCATCATCGCTTTTCCAAATATCAAATAGATGAAAAGGACAACATAAACAAATCCCAACCAATAAAAGGAAAATTTGATTAAGCAAGAATACATATATATAGTTCTTGATAGAAATAGGGTAATTCACAGGATCGGAAACTGATGTCGCTTAGACTATCGATCACAGTATGATGTGAAGGATATGAACAAAGAGTGAATATTGAATTGAATTGAATGAATCTGACAGAAAGAGATTTGACAAATATATAGAGATGGAAGTAACCTTTCTAGAGGAGTTGTATTCTTCAGGGGAAGTTATAACTTTTCACGTTGAAATACAACTATTCATATCCTTTCAGAATTAATTAATTAATTATTTATTTTATTTTCTTTATTAATTAATTAACTTATTTCAATACAATCATAAGTATATTAGTACACCAATGTTATGGTGTACCTTCACATATAATTATTACACATATTGTGAAAACCATGTTATCATAATCATATTCCAACATCTCCCACTTGATTATGGTAACATAAACGGTTTCCTATTCTGATTTGTATCTTGTATATAGTGATATTTAATTCAATTTGTTTTCCTTTGGAACTATTTTCTCCACTCTTTATCAGAAAGATGACGGACTTATTATCACAAAACACATTGATGTGCTCCTTAGGCATACCCATATTTAAATTATCGATAAATCGTTTAGCCCATACTACAATACTTACTGTTGTCCTACAAATATATATTCTGCTTCCATGGTAGAGTTTGCAATGACAACCTTGTTTCTTACTTAACCAAGAAATAGCCATTCCACCAAACAAGACAATGTTACCACTTGTTGACTTTCTATCATCCAAGTCACCTGCAAAATCTGCATCGCAATAACAAACTAAATCCAGATCATTTAATTCGAAACAAAGTTTCATACCTTGGGTGCCTTTTAGATATCTAATAATTCTCTTTACTTCCATCCAATGTTGCTTTTCGGGGTTGGATTGATATCTACTTACCAATCCAACTGCGTGACATATGTCAAGTCTTGTGCTAGTCATAACATACATCAAACTTCCAACTGCTTGGGCTTACGGAACATTTTGCATCTCAATGATGTCTTGCTTTTATACCGGGCACATATTTTTAGAAAACATCATTCCCTTTACAAACAGGTGTACTAACTGGCTTGCAATCTTGCATATTAAATCTTTTAAATATTTTATCTAGATAATTTTGTTATCCAAATAGAGCGTTTTGGCATCTCTATCCCTAGTAATTTTAATTCCTAGAGCATAAGATGCTTCTCCCATATCTTTCATTTCAAATTTGGATCCCATATATGACTTAGTCTTTTCAATCATATCTATAGAGTTACCTGTAAGTAAGATGTCATCTACATATAATGACAACATACAACAATTATTTTGGCACCTCCAAAAGTAAACACAATGATCTAATGGATTTATTTTGTAGCCCATTTCCATAATGGCTTGGTGGAACTTTAAATACCATTGTCTTAATTTATAGACTTTGTTTTCATATCCTTTGACATGATATCCTTCGGGTTGAATCATATAGATGTCTTCCTTCAAATCTCCATTCAAGAATGTTGTTTTGACATCTAACTGATGAAGTTCTAAATCCATTCTAGCAACAATTGCCATAAGAATACGAATGAATGTAAACTTCGCAACTGGAGAGTAAGTATCCACAAAATCTATGCCGGGTTTCTGA